ATTGATTTGGTGTGAAAACACCATTGTTATAAGGCCATTTATTCCTATAACTTTTTTATTACAACTCCTGTAACTTTTTTATTATTTTTTTGGATAAAAAAACGGGATTTGGTATGTTACTATATGGCATAAATTAGGATTGATTGACATATTCAATTGTTTTTGATCACTTCCTGTTTCACCGGAAATAACTACAACTTTTGATTTTTAAATGGCACCCTCGGTATATTTCTACTTTACCTCTGTATTTTTCTATTGAATAAAGTACACCAAATCTCGTTTTTTTTTATCTGACGAAATAAAAAAGTTATAGGGGTGAGCCACTTTCGAGATGCACCCGGTATAGATAAAATGCTTACCTAGAACTTTGTTGTCTCTGGTACACATTATTTGGTGTTGTTAAGGAAGAACTTTTTAAAAATGGCGTTCCATATGAAGTATCTGGTGGTAAACTTTCTTTGAATGCAACACCAGGTTGCTGATAATTGTATCCAACATCTGGTCTACATAATGCTCCCACAATCGAGGATGCAATTACCTACAATGCAAAAAAATATTCACCACCCTATTTAACAAGTTCCTTATTTAATGGCTAAATATAAGTATGTAATATTATTTCGGTTTAAAAACGGGGCTTATGACATAAGAATAATAGACTAATGTTATGCATAGATAAAGGAAACAAGTTTAGATTGGAATGCTCGGCTTGCCGGTAAATCTTATAATCACTTAAAAAACAAACCTATCGGCCCAAGGGCGAACGCACACCAATTTCGCCATGCTCTTGATATATGCCACATGCATGGTTCAAATGGGGTAATTTTAAGATGCATTTGGGATAAAAGCTTTAGAATCGCTGGTTGCAAAGACTACAGCCTTATCTTGAAAGTATTGCGGTTTGCATGACTTCATACCAAAGTCTTCAAAGATCATTATCAAAACTCTGCGAATTTACGGCAGAAGCACTTCAAATTTGTTATGAAGTACTGCGAATTTGAGATAAAAGCACTTCTAATTTGTTATAAAACACTGCGAATTTGTGACAAAAGCACTTCGAATTTGTAACAACATAGTGGAAATTTGCGACAAAATCATTGCGAATTTGTAATAAAGCTTTGCAAATATGTGACAAAAGCACTTCGAATTTGTAATAACACAGTGAGAATTTGTGGCAAAATCATTGCGAATTTGTAACAAAGACACTGTGGTTTTTGTAACTAAAGCACTGGGAATTTGTAACAAAAATTCACCTTAACCCGAATCATACACGGTCAATTTTTCTTTCAAATATATTTGCAAATAAGTGTTATTTGAGTGTATGTGGCGTTATTTATACCTAATCATAATTAGGTATAAATAACTAATTATAATTAGGTATAAATAACGCCACATTTAACTACTTTCATTTAAATCCCGAATAACTTATGAAAAGGAATATAAAAATTTTCAAAAATGGAAGCAATTAAAAAACGTGCGTGAAGAAATAAAGTTTTTAACCTATCCTCGCTGTTAAAGTATCATTTAATCGACCCTTGCGGTTAAAATACTATTTTATCTACAATTTTTGATAGATATAAGGCATAATTTTAACAGTTGCTATGGAAAAAATGTTATTTAATGCTAAAATTTTTCAAATAATTGGTTTATTTCCAGTGGATTAATATTTTTAAGTAATTTTTTTAGTACATACCAAAACGATTCGTAAATTTTCCATACTTGAAAAAATAAAACTACACCAAAAATTGATACTGATCGAACCAACAATTTTACCTGTTTTTATATACCTATTCCCGAAAGAAATCCTAGAGAAAGCCGTGATAATATTTCCCAAAAACAAACATTGTAAAACCTTGTTCGGACAAAAATTCGACAAAGCCTCTCGAGCCTTGTGGTTGATTTTTATGGCGGGCCCGCTGTTTGTCTAGCTTTTGTTCTTCGTGTAGTCCCGTGTGTTCCGTACCGTGTTAGGAAATATTGGCGGTTATATACCGAGATCTGTCAAATAGTACTAATCAATAAAATAGTTTTTGTAGGATTAATAAAAATATTTTATGACTGTATTATGTTCCTTTTTTGGGTGGATTTATATTATTAGTTTCAGAGAAATGCCATATTAAAAAAATTAGACACCGGGTGATATCGAGAACTGGCTAACAAGGTAGGAGAACAGAGCAAAGGAATGAGTTTAACAGCACCAAAAAAACAGAATTTATGATAATCTTCAGAAACTCAAAAATATGTTTGAAAACCTCCACCATGACATTTAATACAAGGCCTATGGTCGAAAAAAAAAACGGCGGCAGCGATGGCTATGAAATGAAGATCGTTGTCATTTTATATGTAAAATTATATGGGGAATGTCATCGATCGTCATTTCCAAGCCAACTGGATGCCTGGTACCGATCATACGGTACTGCTACTACTGCCATTACTCGCAAACGAGTATTTGACACGCATTAGAAGATGGTTACGCAAGGCGTTTTCTTTCATGAAATTTTCTGTGACTGAAAAGGCCGATTCAAAAATCATATTTTCTTCTCCTTTCTTTTCCATTACGTTCTACAGGGTTGTTCACCACATACGACACAGAGTATTGTAGCTAAACGATGAGATTTTTACAAATTGTAAGTTTGGGGTTCGTTGAAGGACTATTAGAGCTACAATTTAAAAATATTTTTACAAGATACAGAGTGTCCCAAATAAATAAAAAATATTAAAGTTGTATTTTTTTAAATGGAACACCCTGTATATTATTACATTTTTAGTTTCTACGATTAAAATAAAGGTAAATTTGATTAAGGTTTATTATACTTAAACCAAACAAACAAAACAAAACCTTCAAACGGCAATAACTTCTTTAATTTAAATGGAATGCCCTGTATATTTTAGGAGAATCAGATGCACAATTAAATTGTCTATCAAATGGTATTATATCATTTTTTACCTATCCCTTCAAGTTTTCGTAGAAAATGCATTTTCTTATAATTTAGACCTCATTTATCAATATATCCATGGAATATTGACATTTTAGATTGTTTTTAAAGCAACAAATGTACAAAATGTACAGACTAGTAATATTATCGTTTTTAGCAAAACGATAATATTACTAGCCCATTTGTATGCAAAAAGAAAACTATTTAAATCTTTATAAAAGAGTATACCATTAATTAAATATAACACCATTATTTCCGGCTATATACTAATTAATTACGTACTTAATTGTGTTCGTTAATAAATTATTATAAATAAATGTGGATTTGAGTCAGAAATCAATATAATAATAAGTTATCAAATTAAAGTCTTTGTTGTTATAAATAAGCATTTATTAAAAAATGAAATATCATTTTTAAGGTGTTACTTTTTATCACACTGTCTAATGCCCATACAAAATTCAGTTTTTTAGTATTTGGAGCAATTATTATTAATCAACGCAAACAGTCAGTTAATGTAGTTTGAATACTGGAATCATATTAATTGGTCCTCTTTAACAAATATTTAAACGGTTTTTTTTTATTTTTTAATGAAATAAACGAATTATATCGACAATATTAGTAAATGTACTCTTTAAAAATTTGGTACATCTTTAAAAATAATCTAAAATGTCAATAGTCCATGGGTATATTGATAAATAAGTTCTAAATTACAAGAAAATGCATTTTCTACGGAAACTTAAAGAGATAGGTAAAAATGGTATAATATAATTTGATAGACAATTAAATTGTGCATCTGATTCTCGTAAAATATACAGGGTGTTCCATTTAAATTAAACAAGTTATTGCCGTTTGAAGCTAATAATTATTTAAAATAAATTTTTAGACACTCTGTATAAGGTAGTATTATTTTTATTATTGCAACACAATAACTGATCAGTAAATAAACTTCAGTAAATATTTGGTATTAAAAACTTTAATACCCTTGGAGAAATGAAGCCTTAAATTTTTTACTGCAATTTCACAAAATTGAAAATATTTCAAAAACGGTAAGGTTTAAGTATAATAAGCCTTAATCAAATTTACCTTTATTTTAATCGTAGAAACTAAAAATGTAATAATATACAGGGTGTTCCATTTAAAAAAATACAACTTTGATATTTTTTACTTATATGGGACACTCTGTATCTTGTAAAATTATTTTTAAATTGTACCTCTAATAGTCCTTCATCGAACCCAAAATTTACAATTTGTAAAAATTTCATCGTTTAGCTACAATACTCCGTGTCGTATGTGGTGAACAACCCTGTAGAGTTCTAATCAGTGTCGATATGACATTATAACATGATACGGTAATGATGGTTAAAAAAATTGCAAATTGTTGGTGGCAAGTTCATTTCGCTCTTAAAAATTAACCACGGCATGTGTTTACATGAATCAAAAAACAAAATGCTCATGAGACATGGTTCTCATGGAAAAGTAATCTTTTTGGAAAAGTTACTCACGAACTTATTGCAGAGCATGTTTTAATGATAGGGTAAAAAAATCTTTCAATTAACCCTGTATAATAAGCCAAATACTAAAGTTTATAAAAAACTGAGTTTATGAATTAAAGTTGACAGATTTATATACAGTATGCTAATTCATGAAAATAGGGCTAAAAGTAAAAAAAAATATAACATTTTAAATTTGAAACATTTTTTTTGCAACTGAGTGTATAATATTAATTTTAAATCTCTGAAAAAAATACTGCATTTTGACAGGTTATATTTGTAATGATTTCTAATCTCTGTATCTAAAACATTTTTTCTCTTTAATATACCACACTGTTAAGTACTTTTTATCTACACCTCGTATATAAATAATTCCATAATGAACCATTTAGGATTTTTATTACTTTATTAATTTTATTACTATTGTAAATTATTTAATGTTTCGATCATTATCGAAAGCGTGTCATGGCTACCTAAATTATCATTTCTTTTTCCTATTTAAAAATTTCACCAAATATCAGAGAGACATACGTGCGTATATTAAGTGAAGTTTGGAGAAAACAAAAGAAACAACGTGTTCGTATACAAAAATAATTTATTTCAATTTAAATAACGTCCTACTTGCTAGATTTGTCACCGTTTCTTACAAACTAAAAACATAATCGTTTATTTAACAATAGAATACAATCCATCTTATATTCTAATATGGCAGTATGGTACGATTACAATGATAATTAATGACTACAATGTACAATAACATGACTATCACGCTTATAACTTTATTAATTCGGGTCACGCATGCGGATTTTTTAAAGTCCACCACTAGAAAAGGAAAAACCCGCCTTTTGCATCCCTCAAGTCTTTCTATAACCACCTCGACATCACTTTTTTACAAAACAACTTAGTACGGACCTTCTGGTTTTCCACTGACGTATCCCGGGGGTCCGTATGAGCTACTGATACTTGCTCCGGATGATCCAGAGGAGAAAGAACCGCTGTGAGACGTTGAGAAACTGCTAAGTCCGCCACTGGATAATCCAGCCAAGGATCCGTGAGATCCAGAGCTCAGAGACGAGCCTGCTAGAGCTGAACTGGAAAAGTCAGCTCCAGCTAATGATCCTGCATCTAGAGAAGCTCCTGCTCCGGCGAAGCTAGCGCTGGACAATGAAGAACCGCTGGAGAATCCACCAGCTGCTTGATTTTTCTGGGTTTTGTATCTAATGAAGTAGACTTCTGGTTTGCTGGGTTGAGTAGGCACTGGCTGAGGAATATTAATTTCAGGCTGTTCATCGGGCTTCTTAACCAACACGTAAACCAGAGTCTTTTCTTCGTTTTGCGGTTGAAGAGGAATGGAAGGTACGGTAGGTGCTGGTGGAGATGGGGCTTTGATAAAGATGATTTTGTAGTGCTTTTGAGGTGGTGCTACAGGAATAATGCGTTGAGGTCTGAGTTCTTCAGGTTCTGGAGGTGGTACATGAACGTAAATGTGTTTCTGGACCAAAGTAGAACCTCCACCGATGTTTCCTAGAGATGCAGCAGAGCTGAAACTTCCTGCGCTTGCTCCGGAGAATGCGGAACTTGAAGAACTTCCAAAGGAAGAACCTCCAGATACTAGAGCGGGTCCACCAAATGAAGATCCGTGTCCTCCGAATGAAGATCCATGTCCTCCGAATGAAGATCCATGTCCTCCAGACAAAGAGGAGGATGACAAGCTAGATCCACTAGAGAATGAAGAACCGTGGCCTCCAGATAACAGCGAAGCTCCTCCAAATGAGGATCCGTGTCCTCCAGATAGAGATGACAAACCAGATCCACTGCTGTAGCTTCCTGCGTTGGAGTAGCTGCTTCCTCCTGTGTAGCCGCTACCTCCGCCGGTTAAACTGATGTGGCTGATGTCGTGATTGCTCAGGGAGGAACTGCTGCCCAGTGAGGCGCCGGATGTAGCTAGACTAATGCTGGATATGCCGTGGCTGCCTCCGATGCTGGGTCCTGGGAGGGTGAGCTGAGCGCCGGAAGGTACGGGGTAACTGTAGCCAGCTTCTGGTCGGGCAGAAGCTAGTGCTATTAAAGCTGAGGTGATCTGAAACAATTAAATTGTGAATCAATAATATTTCTTGAAATTTCATAGTTACTTGTGATATTTTGCTAATCACTGAAAGATTATTAAACATAATATATGAAACAGAAAGTGAGATATGATAGGAAATATTTTTTACCGTTTTGTTGTTGTTTATTCTCAATAATTATCATGTAACCAAATGAATAACAAATTTCGGTTTTACTATAAAATTAAGTTAAATATTATAAATAAAACGGATGAAAAGAGATTGTATAATGAGATTTCAATTTTCAAAATGATTTTAGAAAAATTTTAGTTGTAATTGAATAACAAGGAAGTTATACTTGCTTTGAGAAATGATATACTGTAAAATCTAAAAAAAGGCGTAAAGGTGGCTTGGAAATGACGATCGATGCCATTTCCTTATACACATAATTTTACATATAAATCGATTATATCATCGATTTCATTTCCAAGCCATCTCTGACGACGCTTTTTTCGATTGTGTGATATTTTAAATATGATAAAGATATATACAGGGTGTCCCAGAAATAAGTGCAAGTATTTTAAGGGGTGGTAGATCTTGATAAAAGAAACATATTTTCTCTTTATCGTTTTTCCAAAAGTCCAAAATAACGGAGTAATTTTACTTTGAAAATTTACAAAAAAAAATGATATTTGCTAAAATTTTGGGAACCACTGGATCTTTTCTGGATTTTCTTTCTTGTAAATTAAATCTACTACCTATGTTGCCATATTATCAGGAAATAATTTTTTTTAAATAGAAACTAATAAAATTTTCAAAAAAATTTTAAAAAAATTCCGAATTTTCAAAATTTTTTTTCGCGAAAAAAACCTCATAGGCGTGTTTCTGGGGTTGAACTCTACTGCCAGTTAAAATAAGCGCAAGTATTTTAAGGGGTGGTAGATCTGGTCAAATGAAACATTTTTTCTCTTTACCTTTTTTTCAAATAAGTCCAAAATAACCGAGTTATTTTACTTCCAAAGAAAATTTCCAAAAAAAATATTTTTTTGCTAAAATTTTGAGAACCACTGGATCTTTTCTGGATTTTCTTTCATATAGATTTAAGCTACTACCTATGTTGTATGTTAAAATACTTGCACTTATTTCTGGGACACTCTGTATTGGTGAAGTATGGGTAAGGATCCGATTTATTGGGTTATATTGATAGGAAGTTTGCATTTAGAATTGAACTAATATTCTATTTAGTTTTACAAGAATTTGGAAGAATTTAAATAAAAAAAATATTTTGTCAAAAGCTAAGTCAAGCTTTTTATTAGTACATTTTCCAATTTTCAAATAAATATATAAAGATATACAAATCTTAACTTTTAAGTAATTTTAAAGATATAATATAGGTGTAAGTAAAATTTATAAAAATAGTAGAATATATTAAAGCTAGAAAAAAAACAGAGACTTTGGCATTTACAAAAATATGAAATTAATTAAAAAAACCTTTAGTAATTCTCAAATATATGAGATTTTATAGTTAAGATGAACTTTTTCTAAGTGGTAATGATACCATACGATAAAAAAAGACGGCGTTAGAGTTGGCGTGGGAATGAAGATCGCTGTCATTTTATACGGGAAATGTCATCGTCAGTTCAAAGCCGTTTTTTTATTATACGGTATTTCATTTAGTGACATATTTTCAAGTTTATATTTTCAATAAAATAGACACTTAAAAAATGTAAAAAAATTAAAGGTAAATACATTTAAAATGACTTGGTACAAATTTTTGGAAATTGAAAAAATGGTGTATTAATTGAAATTTTGGAAAATAGCTTTGAAAAGAGTCGTTGAATTTCATGTCAGTCAGGAATTTCAGAGAGAACAACATATAACTTTAATGTATATTATAAAGTAAAAAGAACATTTAGGTACGAAAGATACAGTCTGCTGGATCTGTGTCTATGAAAGGAATGCGGACAAAAAACATTTAAATAAACAGCAATATATTTTATACGTCGACTTGACGAATACGTCACCGCAAATCGCTCCACCCACTCATTTTATTGGCTATTTGCAAATTTGTCGAATTTTTACAGATGGGGCGCGTTGTCTAATTTTTTACGAAAATCATCGAGAGAATATCGTTTCCCCCGAAATTTATAGAACACCAAAAGAGACCAAAATAAAACTACGCTAGAAGAAATACTGTATGATCGAAAAAGACATTACAGTGGCCTTTGGAATGACAATCGATGATAGAAAAATCGAAGTCATTTATTAAAAATTGTCTTAAATTTGTAGCAAATAACATATAGGTGTTGGTCAGGGTCAGGTATCTGCTGATAATAATAACATAGTTATCCCCAAATGCACGTCAAGTGTTTAAAACATTTTGTTGTGTTGTAGTGAACAAGAAGTGTTTTATTTTACGGTTGCTACTGTAGGAAAACATGTTGGGGTATACGAAGCCGAAATATAGAATATTCGAGTTAAAAAAATTGTGTCACTAGTACAGAAAGATTATGGTCAAAGGGGTTTCACGTCACAAATCGAAGGCACTTCACGTAATTTCGATATATTTTTTTCGCGATGTTTTCAACCGATTTCGCGAATCGATCATCGTGTGTACTCACCAGGAAAACTCTCATGTTGACGGTGTGTCTGCTACCGGCTGCGACCTGTAGCGTCAACGGCTGCACCCTGGTGCTATCTTTCGAGGACCCGGAAATTATTTGAAGCCTTCCGAATGAGCCCCTACGTTATATCGGCCGGCGAAACGTCTTCGGGGGCCCCACCTGAACCCCCGATGACGCCATCCGCGGCCGCCGCCGGTGGACGCGGAGGATACGCGCGCCGAGAGCACGGGGAAGGTGTCACGTAACAGTTTTTGTAATGAATTATCATATTTATTTGTTTTTTAGCGAACTATTATTTTCTTTATTTTTTTTAAATACAGTAGAACTTCACTAATTCGGACACGGGCGCTAAATCGGACATTCCAGTAGTTTAACGTCAACCAAACAATTATGAAAAATGAATTGAAGTTCGCATTTTTTTTTGGACGGTGGACGGTTAGATGCAGTATGTAGTCTTTTCTTTGTAGTACAGGCGTCAGGAGAATCGTATATTGCTAGAAAATAAAGCCAACTAAACGACTCTAGCTGAAGAAATGCAAGATTGGATTGCATTAACAAGGAAGGATTCGTAACATTTTTGTTCCATACGTAACATTCCATTTTTTGCTGTTGGACATACTCAAGAACAAACTACTCAATCAGACATACCAAAAACAAAGAAATCATACCTACCAAGAACAAACAAAAAATCAAACCACGTAGAAAATAAAAAAAATGTAAATGAGCTTAATGAGAGAAAGAATTTGTCGCTGTGTTGAATGAAGAGTATAATAAGGCAGAGATAAATTGAAGAGAACATACTAGACATTGGAAACAAAGGAAACAAAAAATGACGACTTAAGTGAAACAAAGGATAACAATGTTGTATTGAAAATGAAACTATGTAATGCTGTAAAATCTGTATCAAAAAGTATTTACTGGGTAGAAGAAAACAATGTTTTTACGCAAGATATTTTGCTTTTGAAGGAGTAAAGGAGAAGGTTGTTGGGGCAACAAAATCGATAAGTATGTATGCAGATAAACATCGATTCATTTTTTTTAAAAACAAATTAATTCAAATCAATCTATTATTCAATTCAAACTAAATATTAATTTCGCATTTGTTGACATTTTTATGTAAGTATTTAATTTGTATTAAGGTGCGTAGTTACTTAATACGGATGTTGTAGTAAGTAGTAACTGAGTTATTTTATGGGTGCAATATAGGCACATGTAGGTACAATAAGCAGAATTTATAAGATCAAAAGCTAGTTTTAACAAAGCGTTTTGTGTTTTGGTAAATCGAATTGGTATAATAAACAAATCTATATTTTGTTTATACATTGTTATTTGATGCGCTATTTGTCTGACGATTTTTATTTAAATAGCCCTCCATATACCAGAAGATCCGGCCTGCGGATCGATCTGGCCTTTGGATGAAATCTTTGTGTTTGTGGGCAAAGTTTTGTGTTTTTGGACAAAGTCTTCGGCAGACCAAGCCTTTAGTGGACCAAGTCTGTCACTAAGGCTTAGCAACCTCAAACCTTATAGTTTCGGGGGATATATCTTTAAGTTAAGCTTTATAGGTTCGGGTTAACAGCGATTTGAAGTGAATAGAGTTGGGCTAAACTACATTAAGCAAATTTGATTTGATTAAAGACTAAGTTTCAGAGGACCGTGATATTAGTTAAGATAACATAATAGCTGCGTTCGACATTACAAATCGCAGATGAGGGCGGGCAGAGGCCGAGTTAAATCACGTGATTGCGGAGTACTCGGATATGCGATTTTGAAGACGAACGTTTTCGGAGCTGTCAGAGCCTTTCTGTTCAAAAATACTATAAATATAACCTATTTTCTGTGTGGTTCGGTGATATAACCTCAATTAAGAAAAAAAAGAGAAAAAGACTTTCCATTTAAATCTGCCTAAAATGGATATAAACACAGACCAGGCAATAGGTCTGATGTTAAATTTTGCGAACAGTATATTTTTTGACAGCAGTGATAGTGAAACAGAAGTAGAAAGAGCTCCAAGGGTACAACAATATGCTGAAGAAATTGTGCCACGACTTTCAGATAAAACATTTAAATCTCATTTTAGAATAAACCTTTGTACATTTGAAGACTTACTTGGCAAGTTATATAGCGTTTCTAACTCCACAGTTCATTGTGGAACAGTGCCTGTGCCACTTGATAAGCAACTTATGGTTACAATTTGGTGTTTGGCAAACTTGGAGTGTTTTCGGTGAGTTCTATTCTCAGAGTTATATCAGAGGCAATATGCAACTTTTATTAACCATGGTAAAATTCAAACCTTGTTTTAGATCTGTAGCTGATCGTTTTAGGATCAGTAGGAGTACTTGTTGGAGCATTTTATACAGAGTTTGTAATCTACTGCTAAAAGTAAATAAGAAATTTAAAATTATTTCTTGGCCAAGTCAAGTAAGGGCAGAAGAAATTGAAAGGAGAGTTTAGGGCCATTAATGGATTTCCAGGTAATGTTAATTTGGTTTTCAGTTAATTAGTTATGTTTCATCTAAATGTTTATAGGAATAATTGGAGCAATAGATGGGTCCCACATAAGGATTCTGAAACCAAAAGAAAACCCTAACTCATACTGCAATAGGAAGAGCTACCACTCAGTTTTATTGCAGGGGGTATGCGACAGCAAAAATTATTCTTGGACGTTTACGCAGGGGAACCTGGGTCTATACATGATATGCGTTTATTTCGAAAGTCAGACCTTAACTCAAGAATAAGAAATGGCTCTGTGATAATTTCAGAAGATCATCATCTTATTGGAGACTTGGCATATAAGTTGTCACATTATTTACTGGTTGGTTTCAAAAATAATGTAGTTTTAACCCCTGCCCAAATTAATTTCAACAACAAACTGTCACAATGCAGAGTAGTGATAGAAAATGCATTTGCTCTTCTAAAGGGCAGGTTTCGTCGTTTAAAGTCTTTAGAAACAACTAGATTGGATCTAATCCCACTAATTATTGTATCAGGAACTGTTCTTCATAATATATGCATATTAAATGGAGATCTACTGGAAGATATTGCAGATTTACAATTGGAAGAAGAGATTTTAATTGAGGAAAATGTTTATGCAGTTGTTGATGATGTAAGAGAAGATTTGCAAGCAGTTCGAAAGAGGAATAATATAATGAATGCTCTACTAATGAATTAAAACATTATAAATAATAAAATTCTATAAGAAAATACCCCCAATTTTGTTTTATTAGTATATTTTCCTTTCTTGGCACTTATAATATATTAGTAAAAAGCAACAGAAACTATTATTTTAATTTAATTTAACAAATACAAACATATACATACAAAATGTACAAAAATATAAATACTTATTAAAATGTAAACAAATTATTTTATTCTTGCTTTCTATTGCTTTGTTGGCTCTGTAATATATCAATATATTTTTGAAATAGGTTATTAAAACAATCCTGTCTCATCATTTTTTCTTTATGTCTCCTCTCTATGCTGTTAGACCTGGCCGAAGATTTTCTCTTTTTAACAAAATTAGAATCTTGTAGTGTCTCCTCATTTTTATCTTCTTCATTATCAGTAGCACTCTTCTTGAATATCTTTTCTCCTGACTTATTTACTTGCAATCCAGAGCTGCTGCTGCAAGTAGCAACTGGCAATATTTCTGGTTTCTTGAAGAGAACAGCATGCATTGCATCAAAGAACTCCCACTTTCTTCTTTGCTTGCCTGAAGTATTATTGTGATCTACAATTTCACGATATATTTTTGTCAGTCCTTTCCATTTGGTTTCACATTGCTGCCAAGTTAAGGTAGTTCCATGTTCCTCGTTAAGTTGGGAAGAAATTTTTGTCCAAATATGTTTTTTTACACAGGTTTGAAACTGTTCATCTCTTTCACTAACTAAATTGATGAAATATAGAGTTAAATCTCTGGTCCACAATCTCTTACATTCTTGTATTGAATTTGTAGAACAACTTGAATCAGTTGGCGAAAGAGGACTTTTTTTATCGAGGAGTTCTAAAGTTGAGTTATTAGCTTCTATATCTTCATATTGCAAATTTATAGGTTCATAGGTACTTTCTACAAATACAAGTATAAAAATAGTTAATTTAGGTATTTCGGTATTCTTACCTTTTTTATTGAAAATATATGTTTCATTGTTTATTTTATGTATCTCTGTATTTTCATCCAGAATTTCAATCACGGATACTACAGCTTCCTCCATTTTTATCTATGAATCTAAGTTAAGAAAAAAGCGTTTCACCGTGGTATTAAAATCTCGTATAAGTAATTATTTATATGCAGTTATAATGTAAAAACCAAACTTTGATCTGCTATGGATCTGCTTTAAGTCCCGGCCACATATTATTCCCGGCTTTAGTTCACATTTGAGGTTATATTATTGCCATAAATCGACCGGATCGACAAACTCAAACAAATTTCCCGCCTTTTTTTCGTTGAGCTCGATAAGCTCCTTCAAATTATCCGGAGGAGATCGAGCCCGCTCGGAGCGCTCGCAAATGTAATACCGAACGCGGAGCAGATTGAGAAAATCAGAAAGATCTGCAATGTCGAACGCAAAAAGATTGATTAAGCGTTCGAGGAGGTAATAGATTTGTAATGTCGAACGCAGCTAATAAAATAAAAATTCGGGGGTGCATATTTATTTCAGTAATTTTAAGTGGAAATGTAAATATCAATTGGTTTTGTGGTAGCGAGTCTGAACGATGCGGCGCTTTTTTCGGAGAAATTTTTGGGTCGGCTCTTGCCTCTTCTTTCACCTTTTAGCCAACGGCGAGGCTTGGCCTCCGTACTTGGCGGATCTGTATCAGAGCGATCGAAAGTGGTGCCCATATTCGGCCTATTATAAGCTAATCCCGACCAGAAAACCCAAGCTTTTCTGCAGTATTTTACAATTTTAAAATCTTATCTAACGCTTTGGGTCTTGAATAAGATCCATTTTTTGTAAGCTAATAGTTGACCTATCAGTAGCCTGGAAGAACTTCTATGAGGGTCTTAGGACTCTTAAGATATCTTGTTATATTTAAATACATTATCGGTGGCTTGTTTGACAAGTATTTAAGTTTCCACAACAAACTAATACATGTTATTGATTATATTATGTCTTTATGTCACTGTCATGCCGATAAGTATTGCTTACAAGCCGATGATACTTCACAAATGTCAAAATGTCACTGAATTTGTACATTTGAATTCAGGCTGTAGACCGTGTATGTAGAAAAGCTTTGAAAATTTTGTATCACTCTATTCATTGTCTTGGATATGCTCGATCTTAGTGTTGATATGGCGGACATTATAACACTTGTGTTCGGTCAACAGTTGGCGAGCTTGAATGTGATTTTACTGAAAGAACCATTAGTGCCGTCTGGACTTTGGAGCTTCTTTTGTGCTCATACTATAATTTCCTGATCTGTACCAGCTGAATAGTGTTATGTATCGTCGAATGAAGACTCATGCTTATTTTTGGTTTTATAATAGACATCTGCTTCCTACTAGTTTCCCATTATAGAAATTAATGTGTCTCATCGTTTTCTTCCAAAATTCTTGCAGAAAGGGCGGACCACAAAATGACTACAAAAATTACAGCATGGTACCCACGAGGAATTGAGAGACCTACAAGAAGACCAAACCTAAGATAGGACAATGATATTACGAAATTAACAGAGATGAACTGGACCCGCATAGCCAACAATAGACACGGGAAACACAAAATGGCATGCAGAGTCCCTCAAGGTTCGATCCTCGGACCCACCCTCTGGAATATATTTTACGTTCAGATACTTCGAACCGATACAGCCCTGGGCAAAACTATCTTAGCATATGCGAACGACGATCTAGACCTCTTAATAACTGCTTCCACGTATACGACCCTTGAAGAAAGCTGCGCTAGCGATTAAAAATAAGTTGGAAAGCATGGGCGTAAAACTGGTCTCAGAAAAAACTGACCTGGTCGTTCTCGTCGGACAACGCAGGGCAAAGGACCTAAGCATAAAGCTGGATAACTTATAAAACCTCAAAAGAAGGTTAAATACATGGGGGATTGGTTTAGCTCGGGCATGCGAATGACCTCACACGTCACAGAAATCAGCGATAAAACGACTGGCATCTGACGAGAATCATCTGGCTTCGGTAGTTCATTCGACCATACTGGGATAGATCCACGCGTTTGAAACATTACGAAAACATGCTAGAAAGGATAAACAGGAAGTTAGCACTCAGGGTTGCATCAGCATACGGCACATGTCCAACAGTAGCGGTACTGTGCCTTGCTAAAATACCTCCGATCAGTCTACTGATCGAGGAAAGAAACCAAATATACAGGGTGGTGTCCGAACTGTATTCCGGAAACTTCAGCAACATATTCTGCAGATAAAAATAAGTAAATAAGTTCTTATAAATGTATGTCCTAAAATGCTTAGTTTCGGAGATACAGGGTGTAGAAGTTTCATTTTTATTTCGATTTTTTCCAAATAATTTCCAAAGTAACGTTAATATTTGGATGAAAATTGGTGTCTGGGTGTTTTTTGACATGAGAAATTTGATTTCGATATCAGTATGGCTCCTTCTTGTAGAGGGCACCACCTATGTATTTTTTAACTGGTTTGAAGAGTAATAACTTTTTGTCCGTACCTGTATAAAACTAGCTAGTTAAAAAATATACATTTGCCATGTTTTTTACGTAAAAAAGGTCTCTTGATAAAAATCGCTACGAGTAATGGTTCTCGAGATATTTGGAATCGAAATTACCAATACCTGTCATCATTGACATTAATTAAACATACATGTTGACTAATTAGTTATTAGACTAAAATCATAAATTTGCAATGTTTTTGTGCCAAAAGTTCAACAAAAACTGTTTTATCATCATTTTTTCGAAGAAAAATTTATGATTAGTTTAAAAAAATAAAAAGTTCCCAAATTTCTCATTTCAGTTAGATAACTATCTAGTTTTATACAGGTACGGACAAAAAGTTATTACTCTTCAAAACAGTTAAAACACATGTAGGTGACGCCCCCTACAAATAGGAGACGTTTTGACATTTAAATCAAATTTCTCATGTCAAAAAACTCCCAGACACCAATTTTCATCCAAATATTGACGTTACTTCAGAAATTATTTGGAAAAAATCGAAATAAAAATGAAACTTCTACACCCTGTATCTCCGAAACTAAGCATTTTAGGACTTACATTTATATGAACTTTTTTACTTAGTTTTATCAGTAAAATATGCAGCCGAAGTTTCCGGAATACAGTTCGGACCATCCTGTATAACAAACAATATGTGGTAAGCAGATCACTAGAGTAAACGTCGGAAACCTAACATTATCGAACGAAAATATCGAAGCGCGTTGCGGGAAGTTAAGGCGCATTATGAAGAAAAAGGAGAAGGACGAAAAAGACAAGATTTGGGTAAAGACAAGACCAACCCCCATAGAAGAATAGATAAGTCTCTAATCTCGATGAAATGCCTTCGGCGGTACCGAGATTGATGAGCTTAGAGCTAAATATGTAAGGGAAACTACACCATAATAGTTGGAAATGATTGAATAAGCTGGAACAGATGATGTAAGAACTGTTGATGGAAATGATGATGTACAAACACTGGCCGATGAAGAGCGTTATTATCTAGTAGGCGCCGCAAATTCATACGCTTCGGTTTCCGTTTCTTCTTCTTTGCGTGGGCAAATCGCTGGGTGGCACGTCGCATCTGGCCGCACCGAAAGGATCGGGTTCGTGTCCCGCGATGCGTGCTTCCCATAAATACCCAAAACAACATTCGGACAATCGCGTACGCCGATCGAATTTATTTGGACGTTTCGGACTTACGAAATGCGGTTGTTTTACCGTCATCGACGCAACGACATTTCGTAAACCGTGCAGATTTACGAGGTTCCGTAGGTTTTTTCCTCGCGAGCTTGGCAGAAGAGAAACAAGCGCGCCTTCTTACTTTCTTTTCAAGGTTAGATATCGAAATTAATACGAACATCGCGGTACTTATTAGCTAGACAGTGGCGGGTGCGTGTATTTTTGCAAAAGTTCGAAATTTGCAAGCTGTTATTTTTTATTATATCATGATTTATCGACTGTATAATATGATGTATTCTCCTTCTTAGTCGACGATCTACAGTTCATACAAATAAACTTTTAGTCACGTGGTTAAGCTTGACCGGCACAGCGTTGTCTACTTTTATACATTTTCTGTTAATCAAAATATTTTAGGAAACAAAAATAAATTAATTATAAATATATAAACAGTTATTATTTACATCAACAAAACTCACTTTTTTAACAGCACTTAAGGGAAATAAAGGGCCATTTCTACCGCTTTCCCGTTCAAAATATTCTAAAATAACGTTGCGATGAGTTTTTTACGGCTATTAAGTTATCTTGTACACTTCGCACTAAAAGAGGTTCTAAAAATAACAATGTTCGACTGCAAGGTCTGCTAGTAAACATTTTTAAGCTTAAAGTATCACAACACTATTTATTTACACCAATAACTCGTAATAGAAAAGTAAAAACGAATGACAATGTCAGGAAATGAATAAATAAATGCCGCAACTTGACATTTTTTTACAGCAGAGCTACCTCCTGAATTCCCAGCGCGAAATTTAAATTCCAATTAGTCAGCACGGCGCCGGCGCCGAATATGTCAATAGTTGGTAACAATGAATTTAAAAATCGCGCCCTCTATTACGTAACTAAAAATTTAATTGGCATGTACTTGTGAAATGTGTCATCAGTTTTATTTGTCTCATTAATCTTCTCAGTAACCTTAATATTTGTATGGCTCTAAATTGGATGATTTTACTAAGGGGTTCTTGGGTACCTCTAATTCATGATCAATATTCTACTCACAAAATATTACTCAATACACTACTACAGAAAACGACGTCATAGTTGTCATAGAAATATCATTTATGTTCTAGCTTTACTGTCATTATCATAGGATTTTTCATAGTGACAGTGATAGTTTTTTTGTAAACGAATATCTTATACTTATTATTGATTTGTGTGACAAAATAAAGGTCTATAAACTTTGACCTACTATGCTAATCGAATTAACAACAAAAAATATAAAAATAAAGAAAAGAAAGTGATACGCCACTGCCTATTCTACTAATAATCTCGATCTCCGGTAAGAAATTCCACTTACGCCTCCATTTGTATGTTGATTTAACTCTTTGTCTTGATAGATAACAAAAAAAATCTCGCCAGACAATGGAGCATGTTAATGGATGTTCTTGACCACTATAGGTGTCAAATTTAAATCGTATGTATCCGCAAAATAATTTAGACTGATAATAAACGTGTCTTCGGGGTGTATTCAATTAAATACTACCTTTTTTTTCAGTTTGTAGGTGTCTCCTCTGTATGCAATATTCTAGTGTTGGTTGTTCTCCATATATGTTTTGTCATACACTTCTAACA